CTTTTGCACTTGCAGCAATGAATTGAATGGAAGCATCAAATAAAAATGACCAAATAACCTCTCTATTCACTTCATTAAGATAAAGTAAAAGAATTAATGCACAGTTGGGCGGAAAGTTAATATCAGGTGGAGGGAGAGAGGATAAGGCAGGAAGGCCTTGAAAGACGTCGATCTAGACTACCATTAGGGAACCGGAGCAGCATTCACAATGCGGACAGTCGTGGACAGCGGAGACGTATCGACGCAGCTGTTCATCTAACGAGCCGCCTTGTGTGCTTCCATTCTCGATGGTCGTAGACTTATTCACATCGTCATCCCCTTCACTGTCCTCCACATTAAACTGCAGGGAGTAATCAGCGTTGGAGGTGGCCAAATGGGAAAGGAATTCGGAAAGGGATTTTTCAAAATCACTCATTGATGCACAAGTGCCTTGCTCTAGGGCAAAAAAATGCCGGAAAAGAAGTCATTTTGAATAAAATGAATGTCTCATAGTGGTAGTAGGAAGCACAACGCACCTCCAGATCCTGGAACAGAGGAAGAAGCAATCACAGCATTGGCCACTTCAGAGAGCGACTGGAGGCGTTGGCGCAGTTCATTTCGATCCCGAATTAACCGTGATAGCAACGCCTCCCTAATCTTTGCCCTCTCAAGCTGTAATGCGGGAGAAACAAAAAAAAGAATGCGATCATGATATCATGATAATTAGTAGCATACAAGTAAGTGATATAGACATACGAGAAGTTGTCGACGGTGTGCAAACATAGTAACGTATTCGTCGATGGTGGAGGATTCCATTTCCAACTGCGCAACGACCGCCTCCAGACGCGATTTCTCTTCGTCACTAGCCACTAGACGGTCTGTTAGTTGTTTAAAGCGCTCCTCCAATTGCGCATAGCTCGCCTAAATCCAAGGGGAAGGCGAGCGTTTCATTTCAACACAAAGGCAGAGTAGTAGAGAGAGGCAACACAAAGGCTAACCTTCGATTGGGAAAGGTCAATTCGAAGCTGGGCGAGGAGCTCCTCCGACTTGACAAGGCTGCATTCCGTTTGGCACAGAGCCATGGTCTCAACCTCCCGACAACGGGCAGTCGCGTCCACTGACGTATCGCGTTTTTCACAACCCTACAAATTTTGCCAACAACAAAAAAATAAATCAATAAAAAAATAACAAGGAGGAATGCCAAATTGAAACAATGAAGTTGTGTCAACAGTGTGGCAGTCAAAAGGTACCTTACCTTGGAAGCAGAAAGCGATTTT